AAAAAAGGGGGGGGGGGCAGCAAACTTTAATTTTATCTTACCAAACCCAGGACTCCATTTTCACTTTGAAGATGCACAGTCATGTTTGGATTGATAAAGTTGCTGGCTAAGAGAGGGATTCCTATGCCCAGATTCGCTGGAATAGAAGAGGTATTAAGGTCCAACATATAGAAAGTGGAGAGATTGTGCCATAGATTGTCTGCTTACATGCAGCTGAACAGAGCCTTCTTGAAAGGTTACGTGCTCTGAATACAGCCACTGAATACACTTTTCAATCACTCTCTGGGCACTACTTTGTAATTTTTCTTTTTACTTCATAATTTTTCAAAATTCCTGTAAGACAGTCCTTACGTTAGTTAGAACACCAAATTTAGGGGCGCAGAAATTACTTGCCCTTTTAATGTTATGAAAACTTGCCCCCACTTTGAGAAGACTGAACCAATCCTTTTGCCACAAATTCTTCATCACAATCACCTTCATTGCTGCACTTGCACCTTTTAAATCACTGGAAAGGCTTACACCCTAGTAGGGCTCAAACAGAACCGTATGTGCCTAGTCTGGCTCACCGGCAAATCCCACTTGAAGAGCCAGGCAGGAGCAGATCCCGTTCGTAACCTGAGGACTGTCTGTATCTCTAATTAAGCTTAGCTTTTTTTACCTCGTAATATTAAAATGCTTTCCCATAAGAGCCATCGGACAGTGTACAATAAGACAAAATAATAATTTATAAATTATCAAGGGTTCATGAGGGAGATGGGGAAATGAGGAGCTGATGTCAGGGGCTTAGGTGGAAAGCAAATGTTTTGAGAATGATGAGGGCTATGAATGTGCAAATGTGCTTGACACAATTGATATGTGTATGGATTGTGATAAGAGTTGTATGAGCCCCTAATAAAATGATTTTTTTAAAAGATATCAAAATAGTGGCTTCAATCAGCTCCCCAAGAGCTGTTTGTTGTAAGACACAAAAGGCACCACTGGGTGGGTTTGAACTGCCAACTTCCTGGCTAGGAGTCCAGTGTCTAACCCATTGCACCAACTAGGGACTCTGAAAACAGTTTACTATTTTTTAATTTAAAAAAAAGTGCTTTGACGATGTTAAGTGCCAAACAGTGTTCTGTCTCCTGGAGATGACTCTGGCGCCTTTCTTTGGTAGACAGAACCTTCTTTACGACAAAAATAGGAAGTCAGTTTGAAGTTTCAAACCTCACCAGAATTTGGGCACAGAATGATGGCATTCTGATAAGATCCTAACAAGAGCGAAATCTTTATAGATCAAGACTAGAAAAAAATATAATTTGTGTTTGCTGTCTTATTATAAATCACAAAGCCCACCAGGAGAACTCAGTGCGCCAGTCACTTCTTCTGGGACCAGGAAGTCTACAGAGCCGTGAGAACAGTCACTGAAGTTGACCTCTTAAGTTTCAGCAAATACAAGTGAGACCATCGAACATGTAGTTTTTTAAGGTGTCAAAGAGCTGACTGACTGTGCTGAATTCCCCCAGACCTACACGGTCCAACCAGAGTCAGCCATGCTTTGTAGGCATTGATGAGGATTGGATCCAGGTCCTCCACCCAGGCAGCAAGCTGATCAAATCAGAGAGCCTCACACTGTCTGGAACGAGTGTGCATCTGTCTACCAACACAGCGCCCTTCAAACCTCAACAGAATCCATGCACAGATAATGACATTCTGATGGGATCCTAATAAGAGCCAAATTCTTAAAAACCAAGACCTTAAAATACATCTGTATGGCTCATCTCCCCGAGATGAGCCAGTCTGGGAGCGATGTAGCAACAATGAAAAATACAACTTTCCTCTAGTTCCTAAATGCTTCCTCCCCACCCTCACTATCATGATACCAATTCTACCTTGCAAGTCTGGCTAGACCAGAGTATGTACACTGGTACAGATAGGAACTGGAAATCCAGGGAAACCAGGGTGTATGATCCCTTCAGGACCAGTGGTGTGAGTGGCAATACTGGGAGGGTAGCGGGAGAGTGGGTTGGAAAGAGGGAACCGATTATAAGGAACTATATGTGACCTCCTCCCTGGGGGATGGACAACAGAAAAGTGGGTGAAGGGAGATGTCGGATAGGGCAAGATATGACAAAATAATAATTTATAAATTATCAAGGGCTCATGAGGGAAGGGGGAGCGGGGAGGGAGGGGGAAAAATGAGGACCTAATTGGAGGGGGGCTTAAGTGGAGAGGAAATGTTTTGAGAATGATGAGGGTAATGAATGTACAAATGTGCTTTACACAATTGATGTATGTATGGATTGTGATAAGAGTTGTATAAGCCCCTAATAAAATGATTGAAAAAAATATATTGAATCAATGAAAAAAATAATAATAATATGTAGGAAAACGAGGAGCTGATGCCAGGGGCTTACGTGGAGAGCAAATGTTTTGAGAATCATGAGGGTAATGAATGCAAAAATGTATTTTATACAATTGATGTATGTATGGATTGTGATGAGTTGTATGAACCCCCAGTAAAATGATTTTTTTAAAGAAAAAAAATACATCTGTATGTGCTGAGTTATTATAAACTACACAGAACACAGGGACAATTAGGTAAGCCAGGTCACTTCTTGTGGGAACAGAGTCTATGAAGCCCTGAAAATAGTTACTCAGTTGACCTTTTACTAAGTCAATCTGATGCAGAGCAATTTGTACTTTACTCCTCACATCCACACACGGAAGACATGGAGACATTCCACCGTGAGCCGGGGCTTTTGGGTCAGAGCATCCCAGACTATACGCCTGATAGCTCTTTCATCATGTGCTAGCATTTTCTCAGTTCTTAAACACTGTTTAAGAATTCAACTACCAGGGAGAGCAACATATAAACATTGGGTCGACGTGAGGGCATATGAAAAGATCCTATGTATTGACCTGTGTTGCAAATATTTTCCACAACAATAAATATACTATCTGAGCATAAAGAGCACGCTGTTGTTGTTATTGTTGTTGTTATTGTGTGCCGTGGAGCCTACCTTACTCACAGTGCTCTTACTGGACAGGGTAGAACTGCCCCACGAGGATATCCTAGGCTGAAGCCTTTCCTGGAGTAAATCACTAGGTCTTTGCTCCAGTAGAGGGGCTGCTGGATTCAAACTGCTAACCTTCCAGGTAGTAGCTGAATGCCATCATTTTCTAAAAAGTCAGTGTGCAATTATCAAAGGTAGACCAATTAACTGGGTCAGAGTAGAAACTCTCCTGACTTTTATCTGCAAGTCAACCTAGTGGACCTCCTGTCTTCCTGATGGCAAGAGATGGAAAGGCACCCATTCCATCTTCTCTCCCTGTTAGTTCTCAGCACAGCACAGGCATGAACTGAACACTTACAATCAGAACTAGAGAGAGGGGTGGAGGTGAAAAGAAAGGGTTCAAAGGGAACAGTTCCAGTCAAGGTGACAAATTGGACAAGCGTCCTCAGTGCCACTTTCCTGACCTTTTCCTCACCTGTGCAGTTTTTGGTTTTCTTCTTAATAAGCCCTAAAGGAGCCCTGATGGCGCTGTGGGATGAGCACTGGACTGCTAAGCCCAAGTTGTCAGTTCAAACGCACGCACGACCTGCTCCTTGGGCCGTCAGTTTCCACAAGTCTTTCTATTCTCAGAAACCATACAGGACAGAAATACTCTGCCTTATAGGGTCACTGTGACTCAATGGTAGTGGGAATGAGTCCTCATGACCGATCCTGTGCCCTTCAAGAAAACCTTATCAAGACTGTTGCTTTAGTCACCCTGTCTTCTGAACTGACTGCACTGCCTTGAACTTAACTAGCCCTTCGGATCCCCTCAGGGGTACTGGTGGCTCTGCCAGGTAGGGTTGGACTGTTAAATGCAAGGTCATCAGTTCTAACCCACCAGCAGCTCTTTGGGAGAAGGTATAGCTATCTGTTCCAGTAAAGATTAATAGCCTCAGAAATCCCAGATTGGGGGGCGGGGGTGTCTGTGAGTCATAAGGAGCTCCGGTAACACCGCATGTTACACACTGAGCTGCTTACAACAAAGTGAGTGGTTCAAACCCACCAGCCACTCCAGGAGAAAAATGAGAATAACTACCCTCGTAAACCTTGAATGTCTCAGAAACTCAAAAGGGCAGTTCTACGTTGTCCTCCTGGGTCGATGACAGTCTGAAACAACTCAATGGCAGCATGTTTGGTTTTTAGTGATGAATCAGAACAAATCTGGTAGCAGTGGGTGGGGCACAACTCTGCATAAAAGTATCTTTACTGGTTTCAAGCTTGCTTTAAAAACTGATGGAAAAATCAGTTCTTTGAACTAGCTGATCTTAACACAACATTTTTTTAAAGCACTCTAATGTAACTAAGGTAAGTGTATGACTGAGAGACTAAGGGAAATTGCCTGTATCCATGCACTAATGAGAGAGACACATTTAAACACATTCCATTTGAAATAAACCCGTGCATACAGGACATCATGCTTGATGGAGTAGACGGGCAGTGAAAAGGAGGAAGGCCCCTGACAAGCTGGATTGACATAGGGGATGCAGCAATGGCTCAGGAACGGGCGGTGTTTCCTTCTGTTGCTCGCAAGGTCCCTGTGAGTTGGAACGCAGCGATATGGAAACCGGGACCCTAGGAACGATACAGTCTGACTTACTCTCATATGATCTAATGTTAACACACTGAGAGCTCACAACATGGAAGACTTACTGGTGTTTGAATACAGTGAAAATTCAAATACCAACTGTACTGAATTATCTCTTCTTCAAAATAGGGCAGAATTTGAATCGTTCATTGAATAATCTTATAAAATATTAGACAAAGAAGGGTGCCTCATGGGATCTTTGCTAAGGGAAGAAAGCAGGTTGTTAAGGAGCCGGATCTTAGGTTTCAATGAAAAGCAAATGTCAGAAGTGGGAGACGGTAAATAGCACTGGTTACACCTAATACTTCGACAATTTGAAACCCTCATCAGGAGTAATCTCTTTTCCCAACAGCTTTCACCCAAATATCATATTGTAATAAAATTCATTATAAAAAACAGCTAAGCAAATTAGTGGTTACCATTTTGTTTCAGGAAGACTAAGATTATAACAATCCAATTTCAAGATCCTAGGCAAGCACCCTGTTATGGCTAATGTTTTATAGGATGATCCAATGAGTGGACCAAATTCTGTCTAACTATTTTTAAAATGAGATAATTCAGTACAATTAACATTTGGACTTTCACTGTGTTTAAATACTAGAAAGTTTGCTATACATTTGGCTTGCTAATCTTTGGGTTTTGGGACACATTTTATAAAAATCCATTAATTCCTTTAAAAACAGGATTTCAAATGGGTTCATTCTGGATCAACCCCTGGCTGAGAATTTGAACCCAGATAATACTGAATAAGAATCTATTTTTAACAAGATCCCCAGATGATTCTTATACAGATCCCCCAGGTAATTCTGTGTGTGCATGAGACTCATCTTGTGATCTTGTTAAATGTAGATTCTGACTCAGTATATCCATGATGGAAATGCATATTCTCAATAGGGGTTCAAAGCCCTGTTTAAAAGACCCCCATCTAGGTGAGGTCCACATACTGTGGCAGGGGTCAAACCCAATCCAGGAACACATAAGGAAGCCAACTAAATAGGAGGGGGAAAAGAAAAAAAAAAAAAGACACAGTAGTGCGGGAGTGGGGGGGACCCGGGGAGCAGGGCACTAACCCACCTAAGGGGAGGGTGCTGTTTATATCTCGACAGGAGAGAGAGACCAGGCTTCAACCTGACGCTGCTTCAAGATGTGAGTACAACAGAGAGGCATGGACCAGGGAACCAATAGAGAGATCTGCGGGGCCGGCCTGGCCTCAATCCCAACTACGTGGACACTTCCATCCCCTTCAGAAGAAGGCACTTCAGAGGAAGCACTGAAGTTGCAGCTTGGGGCGAGGGCCACATCTGATTAGAGCACACAGGAGAAATGACGAGGATGGAGGGATGGAGACAGAGGGCAACTCATCCTGGCCCACCAAGCCCCAAGGATGATATTCCCGCTCAGAGGAGATAAAACACAGAGGAAAACATAGGGCCAGCCCCACCATGAGACATGACATCCCTCACTGAACCAAAGTACTATGGTGGACAACACTGGAGACAGAGTGCAGGAATTGTGCCCAATCTGACCCCATCACACTGGGGCAAAACACTAAGGGCACGCAACAGAGCAGCAAGGGGAGCAAAGTGATGAATCCCTGGGGAATATCAAAAATAGATTTTGGAAACTAAGTGTGGCACCCCATTAGACTCAACTGAAAAACACTCATAAACGCCAACAAACAGACCTTGAACTACTTATAGCTTTTCCATTTTTGTTAGTGGCTTTTTAGTTGTTGTTGTTAATATTTAGTTGGTTTTGACTTCCTTTGTTGTTTTGTTTGACTTTGCCTGGTTTTTGCACTTGTTAATGTCTCTGCATGTCTATCTAGATAAGATAAGCGGGATAAACAATTCAGAGATGAAAAGAATGGGACCAATGGTTCCAGGGTGATACAGGAGAAGGGGAGGTGGGAGAAAGGAAAGTGGGAGGAACCAACCCAGGGCCAAGGGAACAACAAGTGAACTAAGATCAATGAAGAGAAGGGTGTGGGATGCCTAGTGGGGGCATAATCAAGGGCAATGTAGGAGCAAAGCATTACTAAACCCGAATGAAGGCCGAACATGATGGTGGAACAAGAGGAAAGTAAAAGGAAATAGAGGAAAGAACCAGGAGGCAAAGGACACGCACAGAGGCCTAAATACAGGCATGTACATATGTAAATATATTTATATATAACGAGAGGGGAATAGGTCTATGTACTTATGTCTATATGTTAAGACTTAAGATTGCAGATTGACATTGGGCCTCAACTCAAATACTCCCTCAACACAAGAACACTTTGTTCTAATAATCCGGCATCTGTGATGCTCACCTTCCTGACACAATCCCAGAAGACCAAATGGGTGCATAAGCAAATGTGGTGAAGAAAGCTGATGGTGCCTGTCTATCAAAAGATATAGCATCTGGAGTCTTAAAGGTTTGAAGATAAACAAGCGGCCAAATAGCTGAGAAAAGCCCACATGGAAGAAGCACACTAGTCTGTGTGATCATGAGGTGTCGATGGGATCAGGTGTCCCAGAACAAAATCATCCCCAATGTGAATGGGGTGTGGGGTGTGGGGGAAGGTCCCAGAGTGGAGACCCAAAGCCAATCTGTAAACTATTGGATATCCCCTCACAGAAGGGTCACAAGGAAGAGATGAGCCAGTCAGGGTGCAGTACAGTACCAATTAAACACATAACTTTCCTCTAGTTCTTTAATGCCTCCTTCCACCCCACTATCATGACCTCAATTCTACCTTACAAATCGGATTAGACCAGAGCATACACACTACTACAGGTAAGAGCCTACAACACAGGGCATCCAGGATAGATAAACCCCTCAGGGCCAACAATGAGAATAGAGATATGAGGAGGATTAGGGGAAGGTGGAGGGAGAAAGGGGGAATCAATCACAAGAGTCACCATATAACCCCCTCCCAGGGGGATGAACAACAGAAAAGTGGGTGAAGGGAGATAGAGGAACATGTAAGATATAAAAATAATAATCTATAACTTATTGAGGGTTCATGCCGGAGGGTGGTTGTGGGAGGGAGGGGGAAAATGACGAGCTGATACCAAGGGCTCAAGCAGAAAGAAAATGCTTTGAAAATGATGATGACAGCACATGTGAAAATGTGCTTCACACAATGGATGATTGTATGGATTGTGATAAGACATGTAAGAGCACCCAATAAAAGTATTTAATAATAAATAAATAAAGAGAAGAACCCCCCTCCCCCAACCAGGGAGGTGAACAGCCTTGCTCTACTGCAGTGTGCAATGATTCTGTTTTGTTTTTTCTGTATATGAAATCCAGAATGGGCAGGACTATGGAGACTGACTGCACTGATGGGTTTCTTGAGGGGTTGGGTGGGGAAGGTTGGAGAAGAGAGGCAGAGCTGAGGACGACGTGTACAATGGGGAAGTACATGTTCTAAAGTGGACTGTGGAGATGATTGTAAGCTCTTATTAATATGATTCAAATACTGACTTGTATAACATGTGAGATATATGCCAATAAAACTGTTATAAATAATTTATTTAAGTTACCATGGAATAGAGTGGAACTGCTATGGAAGAGCCCTCATAGCCTAAGCAGTCAGGTGAAAGTGAAAGCTATGGCTCTACCTAGCCCCACAAGGACAAAGGATACCAAACATGCCGTCTTCAAATTCCAGAGCTGCCCGCTTGATAATACGTTCCCTTGTGTTATCTCCAGCTTTGCCAGATTTGGTTTTTCCGTCTTCCTCTTTCCGGATTGAAAGACGCTTTAAAATAAGCAGAAATTAATTCTTCACAGTTGAAAAGTGAGCCATGTATTGTATCACTGCTGAGATAGAGTTTTTCATGGACAAAAATGTAACTCTCTCCCATTACTACAGTGAGGCAAATCTGCAATATAATGGAGAGTTTTTTTAAAAAGAAGGAAAGAAAAGGAATTAACCTGGGTAACACTGGGTGACAGAAATCATTCTTTGGGAAGTAAATGAAATAGGTAAGATGTGTTTGAAGAAGAGGAGAGACCTGTCTGTCTCTTTGAAGCAAACAATCCCATCACTGTCACACTGGCTGCTATTGCTGTTACTCTTCAGACTCCAGCGACCGAATTCTCCGCAGGTGCTCAGGGATTGAGACAGAACAAAGAAAAAGGAAGAGACCTCGGGAGTCTGTTTTTGCAGGGCTGTCAGGACGTGTTCACCAGGTGCTGTTGCTGCCAACTGCTTATTTCCACCTGCAGATCCTAGACTGATTTTGCTACAAGTGCATAACAAGAACAAATCATTAAAAGATATGGAAATACGCAAGAAACTATTTCAATCATAAACTCACTCTGGTTCCTGTTTGCAAACACTCTATTCTTTTTCCCTAGTCCCCTGGCATTAGTTTGGAATTTCAGAATGCCTTTCTGATTGACGTCCAGGGGGAAGCAGTTATCTCTGATTCCCTAATATCTCCTGTTCGTTATTACATGCCTACTCCGTCGCTAGTCCTTGGGTATTTCTGTACCTTGATATTGATTCTGGCCAAGCTCATTGGCCTTTATGTTCTCGGTGTTCTTGAATTGCCTCCAATGCACTTGGCATCCCTCCTTGCCATGGTCTCATACCCACCAGCTGTCCAAAGCTAATGGAAAATGATGTTCTTTCTGCTCTATATCAGAGTGCAAAGCAATCTCAAGATAAATAGACATTCAAGATAGAATTTGAAACAATAAATGTTCAAGAGCAGTGAGGCCTCCGAAGCCCTTCTTATCTTTCTCTGTCTTCAGGCAAAACCATGCATAAGTTAAAGCAGTGACGCAGCCTGTCTGGAACAGTCTAGAAAAAGATCTGACTTCATGATTTATACCTTGGCAACACAAGCCACTATCAGGCTGGACAAGAACACAAACCTGGTACCCGGTACAAAATGTGTGTGCCCTTACAAAGGGCGCATGGAGAAGCACTCATGACTGCTCAACTCCAATGCAATCATTCTGTTACGATATGGGATGGCCTCAGTGAAACACAGCTCTGTCCCCGCCAGGAGTACCAGCAAACCAGCAGCGTCAATTACCTCAATTCTTTTCTCATATGCTTCTCCTTTTATAAGGCGATGCACATAGATCTTGGGAATATGGATGTCTTCTGGAGCAAAGGCGCCAATGCCCACAATTTCTTCAACCTAGATAAAGTAAAGTTAACAGTTAAATGAGATAAAGAAAGGGGAAAATAGTATTTTACTATTTGAGAAAAGTAGTATATATATACATCTTCTTCTCATACTTAAATCATATATAATGTATGGGTATAATGTGCATATATTATATGTATGCACATATTAATATCAAATGCAGGTAAAAGTTTTCTGAAGAAAATTTAATAAATGGTTAAACCAGTACATCAACAGGGAACTGCCAGAAATTGAAGCTAGATTCAAAAAGAGTTCATAAAATAAGGGAAATCATAGATGACATCAGGTGAGTCTTGGCTGAAAGCAAAGAATGCCAGAAAGATGTTTACTTGTGTTTCATTGACCATGCAAAAGCGAACGGTGTGGATCATAACCAAATATGGATAACATTGCAAAGAAGGGGGGTTCCAGAACACTTTATTGTACTCAGGAGTAACCTATAGATAGCCCAAGAGGAAGTCACTGAAACCAAACACGGATACTGCATGGGCCCAAATCAGGGATGGTGTGAGTCGGGCTTGTAGCCTTTCACCTTATTTATCCAATCTATATGCTGCCATACTTACTCAATTTATAGGTGGAGGAAAAAAATCTAAGATACTGCATTATATTCAAAAGAATTGGGCATCAAGGTTGGAGGAAGACTCATTAGCCATCCTGCGATATGCAGATGACACCACAGTACTTGTTGACAACAAAGAGGCCTTGAAGCACTTATTGATGAGGATCAAAGGCTTAAGTATGTATTACATCTCAACAGAAAGGGAACAAAAATCATGCCAAATGGAACAATAAGCAACACCACAATCAACTGATAAAACAATAAATTTTTTACAGTTTTCATTTTACTTACATCCACAATCAATGGCAATGGAAACAGTTGTTAAGAAACCAAACAACTTATTTCACTGGGAAAATCGACAGCAAAAGATTTCCTTTACAATGTCAAAAAGCAAAGATGCCTCTCAAGGACTAAGGTGTGCCTGACCCAAACATGGTATTTGCAACTCGATGATACCTAAAACAATATACAGTGAACCCTCGTTTATCGCGGTTAATCGGTTCTAGACCCTACCGTGATAAATGAAATTCCGCGAAGTAGGATTCCTTATTTGTAAATCAAATATTTTCGTAGTTAGAGCATAGAGGACATGAAAAAACACCCTTTAGTCACCATTACACTCGCAAGCAATTACAGTACACTGTACAAAAGCAAAAATGCATCTGATACGTAGCTCCGATATGTAGCGATGCAGACAGAAGCGTGTACAGTTTGAGCCAATCAGTGGCAGTAATGACAGAGCATGCGCTGTTACGCAAAAACCGCGATAGAGTGAAGCCGTGGAAGTCGAAGCGCGAAGTGGCGAGGGTTCACTGTACATACATCCACATCTATGTATGTGTATGTGTTTTGTGTACATAGACATGAAATCAGTACTATGCCCTCTAGAACCACAAGAGGGAAGATATTTGAACATATGTGTTCCAACAAAAAAAAATACAAAGCACACAAATTTAGAACTTAATCTTGACCTAAAAAAAAGAAATTTCAGTTACAAATTTATCAAGTAGTTTGTCAAGACAGCTGCTAGAATGTTCACAAAATTACTGCTAAACTACACAAATCTTGAGAGCACATTTCTTCAGACCCATATTTTCAAAATTAATGGGAAATTTATCATATCAAAGACAAAAATCTGTAACAACATCTGCTTGGTCAATTGAGCTTTTTAAATATAGATGCAAATGCTATTTGTAACGGATTTTAATTATTCCTGCTGTTAGCTTCCTAAGATTGTGATAAAACACCCATAGCTGAAATAATTTTAAAGACAGTTCACTAATTTCAATATGGAAGTTTTAAAAAAGAAATGTTAATAACTCACAATATTGCCATTAAATTCATTTACAGAGCCAAAAAAGGTATTAAAATAAGGCTAAAAGCCCAAAATCAGTCCATTTCAGAATTCATATATTTTTTAAAGGACAAAGGGAAAAAATGTTTCATACTATAAAAAGAATTAAGATGACAATGTTCAAGAAAACCTACTGTCAATAACGTGGTGACATAATTAGCTTAATTGTGAGTTCTAAGCTTAATAGATATATTACACTAAAACAAACAATCATTTACTCAAATTAACCAACGTGGACAAGAGAACTAAATTCCAACTTGTCTCCTAAGCTATTAACTGAGTCCTACATTGTTTTCTGAGCTTGGGTTCTAAAGGTCCCTTATGCTACTCTACTAGCCTATATCTTCACTGGGTCCTTCCCTAAATACTAGGGCTTACAGGTGACGCTTTATGGTTATGCATTGGGCTGCAAACCTCCAGGTGGGCAGTTTGAAACCAGCAGCAGCCCTATGGGAGAAAGAAGAGTCTTTTTCTACTCCTGTAGAGAGTTACAGTCTCAGAAACCCACAAGGGCAGTTCCACCCTATCCTAGAGGATCACTATGAACCATCATCAACTCAAGGTCAAAAAGTAAAGTTTATACAATGTTCCCAAATAGCTAGGGAAAAAAGATCAGGACACAGTGAATGAAAGTTACTTTCTTTGATAAACAGCAGGATACTGACCAAGAGTAAACAAAATGCCCTAAGGAATTGTCAATAAGCATGTGGGCCATGGAAGAAGCACACCAGCCTGTGTGGTCATGAGGTGGCAATGGGATCAGGTCATCAGGTATCAAAGAGCCAGAACCAAAAAATCATATCAATGTGAATAAGCAGGAGCACGGAGCGGAGACCCAAAGCCCATCTGTAGACAAATGGAAATCCCCTAACAGAAGGGTCACAAGGAAGAGATGAGCCAGTCAGGGTGCAGTTTAGCACCAATTAAACACACAACTTTCTTCTAGTTCTTTAAAGCTTCCTTCTCCCCCACTGTCATGACCCCAATTCTATCTTACAAACCTGGCTAGACCAGACAGAGCATGTACATGGTACATATATATAAGCTGGAAACAGGGAATTCAAGACAGGTAAGCCCCTCAGTACCAATAAGGAAAGTAGCGATACCAGGAGAGTAAGAGGAAGGTGGGGGGTTGAAAGGTGGAACCATGAGGGAGGTAGGGAAAAAACAAGGAGCTGATACCAAGGGCTCAAGTAGAGAGAAAATGTTTTGAAAATGATGATGGCAACAAATGTACAAATGTGCTTGACACAGTGATATATGTATGAATTGTGATAAGAGCTGTATGAACCCCCAATAAAATTATTTTAAAAACAATAAGCACATGGAGATAATTGGATGAAAATATAGACCTAGATTCATCTAGGGGTGTGTTGGGGTTGGGGAGAGGGAACCACATCACTATGCTCTGCAACTTCCCCTACAAAGCGCAACTGCTCTGGCCGTCTCCTTGCAAGGTGGAGGCCAGGTGAAAGCAAGTTGAGAGAGGAAGGATGTTGACACCTCTCCAGCTTCCAGTCATTCGGCCTCATTAACATCTTACTCACTTGCAGCCTTCTGAGAAGTTCTTCCACCACATATCTGGCAGTTTGGGTACTTTCCAATCACCTCATATACATGTGAAAGTGAGAAAATGAACACAGCAGACTGCAGAAGTGATGCATTGGAAACTGTGATGCTAGCGGAAGTATCCTGGACTGCTTGAACTAACTACTCTGACTTGGAAGAAGTCCAGCCAGAATGCTCCTTAGAAAGACGGAGAATCTTCATCCAGAGTTTGAACGTGACCTCAGGAACCAGTCCCTGCAAAGAACATCGTGCTTGGCAAACTAGAGGGTCAGTGAAAAAGACCTACAAGGAGATGGACTGACAGAATCACTGAATAGGCAAATCACCAGGTGGTGTTTGGGGGTTTTTGGTTATGGTGATTCGGAAATGACTGGATGACATTTAAAAAGAAGTTGTCCTTGAGTTTTCAAACAAATTTACATATTAATCCATTGCCCTGAGGATATGTAACAAAACCTATTACTCATGAGAATACTGACCACAGTATCCCTGATAAGAATGTGTTGGGCTATGAACAATATAACTTTCCTCTAGTTCTTAAACAATACAACTTTCCTCTAGTTCCTAAATGCTTCCCCCGCCCCAGCCCCACCCACTATCATGATCCGAATTCTACCTTACAAATCTGGCTAGACCAGAGCATGTACACTGGTACAGATAGGAACTGGAAACTCAGGGAGTCCAGGGCGATGATCCCTTCAGGGCCAGTGGTGTGAGTGGCGATACCGGGAGGGTGGAGGGAGGGTGGGTTGGAAAGGGGGAACTGATTACAAGGATCTACGTATGACCTCCTCCCTGGGGGACGGACAACAGAAAAGTGGGTAGGGAGATGTTGGACAGGGCAAGATATGACAAAATAATAATTTATAAATTATCAAGGGTTCATGAGGGATGGGGGAGCGGGGAGGGAGGGGAAAAATGAGGTGCTGATGCCAGGGGCTTAAGTGGAGAGCAAATGTTTTGAGAAAGATGAGGACAAAGAATGTACAAATGTGCTTTACACAATTGATGTATGTATGGATCGTGATAAGAGTTGTATGAGCCCCTAATAAAATGATTTTTTTTAAAAGAGAGAGAAAACCAAAAAAAAAAAAAAAAGAATGAGTTGTGAACAGCCCAATGGACAAGAGGCTAAAGATAAAATAAATACTGGTCTGCCCCCAGGAGTCCACAGTGCACTCTCCTAAGGCTGACTGATCCTGAGAACTACTTATGACCTAATGTTACTTAAAAATGTAAGATTCTGCATAAGTAAATGCTCTCGTATGTGACACTTGGGCACAGTGACGCCTATGCCTAGGAAAAAAAGAAAAGCATATGCACGGAAATACTGACATTTGTTCACGTTTTCCATTTATTCTTATAATTAAGGAGGAAATCCCATAAAGGGAAAAACACTACTTCAAAAAAATGCAATAGGGACTAAGTATGTCATTAGCAAACTATGAAATACGAAAGTAGGGGAAAGTGATAAATTACACAACTCATTAAAAATGAATCAAAGAAGGCACGTTAACAAGAAAAGAGAGAGAAACTGCGGTAGCTGCACTCTGAAGGCGGTTGCAGCGTTATGGAGTACTTAAGGACATGTTTTGCTACATGTGCAAAGGGAATGGGCTGAACGATGTCCATTCCTAATTCTGCTCCAAAAGCCCGGGCACTTGCATCTCTTGCTTGAATTGTCACAGCAGTTGCCTGATTGTCTTTTCCCTTCAGTGAGCACAAAGAAAATAATGTTGGTGACATTTTAAAAGGAAAGTGTTCCTCACTTCAACCAAAAATGTTGACGATGCCGAGAACCAATCACTGTTGTAGTCTGGTTCCACCAAAATCAACCCCAAAAACATCGCACCTGGAGACAAAGCTTCATTTCCAAGGGCAATTACATAATGCCTTCCATACATTTCACAACAAATAGACTGACTAGAAGTGTCCTGGATAAACAGCTCTGATGAAAGGCAAGAATACAGTTAAACATAATCATTTTCACGCTTTGTCACCCTAATATGAATGATTTTCATATTGTAGAAAATACATATGCAGCATTTGTCAAAACAACATCAACACTCAACAGTATTAAAAACTTCTATACAGAAAGCAAAGCTTTCTCAGAGTTGGTTAGCAGAGTTAATAGCAAATGAAGAAAATAGTTGAAGTACAAACCCAAAGATGAAAGCATATGCTTTCAGACAATCTGTGAAAAGAAATATGGAAAAATTGAAGAGGCAGAACTATCTCAGTGCTAGCTGTGAACGGCACTGAAGTCTCCTGTGCTAGTTTTGTGTGACCTTGCAAAAATAAATAAGAGCCAAGGGATGGGGGTGGGGGAGAAGCACAGAAAACAAAACCCACAGCCACTGGCCGATTCCCACTCACTGCGGTGCAGCAGAGGGGAATGCTCGATGAGATCAGGCTAGAGCATCAGGTCAGAGTCTAAGGAAAACTGAGAGGAAAAAGATGAACACAATGAGCTCACTAGAAGAAAAGTTCAAGCAAAAGACTGCAAGAGCACTCACGAAAGATGACAGACTGCACCTCTTTGAAAGTAGGAGTGGATGAAATTAAGGGGGAAAGTGGGTGGAAAGCTGCCTTGTGGTTGGCTGCTGTGCTGAGATAGCCTCGCTCTCTCTATAAATAGAGGGAGATCTGGCAGCAGACTAGACTTGAAGGACTGCTAGTCTCTCACATCAAAGGAAAGCTTCTTTAGGGTTCAAACTGGGCCACTTGACCTGAAGGCTTGGGGCCCTAGCCTGGAGGAATAACAAGGTCAGTTATTATACTGTAGCTTGAAAAGACAATGTCTGCATCCCACTTTTGTGAGTAAAGATGGAGGTCTTAACAGCTTGGGAATGGGCATCTAAGGTGCTACTCTTGGCCTCTGGTGAGTGAGGGAAATTAAAGCTGCATGAAAGCAATTCGTCCACAGGACTAATGGACTAGACGACCTAAATGGTGCCCACTCACCAAAGCTAACTGCCCTGAAGGGATGCACAGCAGATGGTCCTGGATAGAGTCTAAAAATGTGGACTGAAACTCAAAATCATGAAAGAGATGGGGGGGCACCGGAGAGAATGGTCCCCAGTCCTCCTTCAGCTCTGGAAACATACCCATCTCCATGACTCAGCCTGCACCCAAACAACAGGCAGGTCTACCAGGGAACATAACAGAAGGGAACCAACCGCACACGTCTTAGAGTGGTCAACTATTTGAGATCCAAAGGGCAACATTTAACCAAGGATAAAATTCAGAAGGGTCAGGATAAACCAAACCAATTGCATCAGTTCTGGCTCATGAAAGGAGGAAATGAAACGGGAAATACAGGGAGGAAGAGGAGTAAGTGACCCTACATTGAGAGCATTGGGATCGCAGTGAATGAATAATACCAAATGTGCATGAATTATGGGATGTGAAACTGATGATCTGCGCTGCAAGCCTTCACCCAATTCACAACAAAAAGGCAAAAACAAAAATAAAACCATCAAACTGATGAAAATGACTAGGCTTACTGGTTAGGTAAAGATTGCTGGCAACCCCCAGACTACAGCGTATGGTCACCCTTCAAGCCTGGAAAAGATCTCATGCCCTAGGCTCAAGATTCAGCCAAACCATCGGTCTATAGCATGAACACTACCACTAGGGAGGTACACACTCCACAGCACAAACTGAGACCAAAAGGGTAGTGTCTGCCCAAGACCAAGTTCAGAAGTCAGAAAGAATGAGTATGGAAACTGAGACAACACGGAGGAAATCGGATACGTGATGTTACATTGTGGAGCTTGTATCCGAGGACCTGAAACAAAGCGTGTGTGAACTGTGAAGTACAAGGTGATTTTCTCTGTAAACCTGTTCTGTTTTTCTGTAAACCCATTTCAAAATAAAAAGGTTGTTTCGGTAGCTGTTCTTTTTAAGTATCACTGCAGAGCCGTATCAGTGTGTCCTCAGATGAGACCATCATGGAGGAAAGGTAGCAAAAAGCAACACAGACTTCTCCCGGCACGATGAATAGTTCTCAGGCAGCACCATCTGGTACATCTAAAATTCCAGACACTGGAGGCTTCTCTAATTAGTACTTGTCTTCAGTCATTAGCAGAAAAATAGAGGCTAAGAAATGTTAATGGTTATTGATCTGAACTTTGTTTTAAAAGGTTGCATTCTCTCCAATTGTGCCCTCTTGTACTATATAATTCTGGGGGGGGAAAGTTTTATTTTATAGCTTGGAATAGGAGAAGACCTAATCTCTTGGTGATAATGTTTGTATCGTGACTTGACAATTATTTGTCTCGGGTAAGGGAGCAAGAAAAGTTTCAAGGTATCATAACTTTGTCATTTTTCACTTTATCGCAGTTAACTACCTCAATCCAGTACAGCCACAAAAATGGGTCTACCCCTTAAGTTATTGGTGGAAAATGCTGCACACCTGCAAAACATACCCAGGAACAATTCAAAGGGAGGACTGCTGTGGGAGGAGGAAGAATCACAGACCAGATTTTTGCCTGAGTCATTTTAACATTCGAAAAGGCTTAGGACGAACAGTCTTCCTTTGCCAAGAAATTTTAAAAAAACAAAAAAACAATCAATAATGCTTCAAATCCCAAATTAGCAAAAAGCAGTAGAAGAGTAGAAAATATGGGAAGCTGTGAGCAATAACCAGAAAAATTAAAAGTTAGATGCTTCGCAGCTCCAGGTGTAAATTTAACACAGTTGCTGTTAAGTCCCATCAACTTGGTTCCAACTCACAGCAACCACAAAACACTGCCCTGCCTTTAGCACACGTACAACCTCTGCTATGCTTCAGTCCATTGTGGCAGACCCCAGGTCGACCCAACTCCTTGAGGGTGGTCTTCCTTTCCTTTCCGAAGAGAAAACTCTTTTACTTTACCGAGAATGATGTTCTTCTTCAGGGACTGGTCTCTGCTGATAACATGTCCAAAGTACTAGAGACCAAGTCTTGCCATCCAGAATTTCAAGGATTTTTCTGGCTGTCTGTGGTAGTTACATAATTTCATGTCAACTTGATAAATAAAGTGATGGGGTGGCGTTTAGCCTGTTAATCAGGTCGCAGCCTGATGAGGCTTCCAGGTGGGTGTGACCGTCTCATGAGGAGGATTCTGGGAACTTCCTCTCTTTCTCCCTGAAAGTGGGCCACACTCTCTCTCTGCTTCACCTTCCTGTTGAGGAGACACACTCACGAGCTGGAAGAGCCACATGGAGACAACATGATGGCAGCAGAGCCCTGGAGACGCATCCACCACTGGTGGATCCACAAGACTGCATCCACCAGCCTGTGATCTTCCTGCATTCTGCATCATTGCATGTGACTGTGTGAGTCTGAAAGTGATTAATGGACTAGTATCCAATTTATGGGCTAACAGTGGACTTAAGGACTTGATTTGGACTGAGCTGGGATGCTTTAATATACAATTTCTCTTCCATATAAAGCTCTTTCCTGTACATTTATGAATGCCCCTGGATTTGTTCTCTAGTCAACCCGGACTAATCTGTTCTCTCAAAACAGATTTGTTTGTTTCTTCTGGGAGTTCATATTATTGAAACCTGGCAAGAGAGCAAAAGGAGAGAAAGCTAGACCAGGGGGAAAAGCAAGAGTGGTTCCCTTGTAGTTGAGTGGGGTCTTTAATGAAGCTTTAAGCTATTTTACACAGATATTTCCACAGAGATTGAGAACTGGCACCATTTTGTGGACTACATTTTCCAGAATCCCTTGCACCCAATGTCATCTATCATTAATAGAGCATTCTTGGGCTGAAGTGGCCCATGCCCCATTGGAACTTTAGAATACCTTTGGACGCATGTGCTCATAGAAGGCATTACCTCAATTGCACTAGTTATGGCTCTCCCTCCTCAGAGCCTCTAAGAAAATTCTCCAGCATTGCCTGTGTGTCTGACCAAGCAGGTCCTATTCAAAGTCATATGTTGGCTCTCATGAGCTTGTTTTATTTTCTTCCATTTCAACCTGAACTTGCATATGAATAAGTGATAGCTTGTTCTACAGTAGGACCTTGGTCTGGTTTTAGCTGCTGATATTGACCTTCTCCATCATGTCTCCCCACAGATGTAGTCCATTTGATTTCTGTGTAGTCTATCTGGAGAAGCCCAAGTGTATAATCATCTTTTGTGTTTGTTGGGAAAAAGTGAGTTGCTATGAACAAGTCATTAGTCTCGCAAAATCTATCATGTGATCTCCAGTTTTGTTTCTATCACCAAGGACACATTTTCTACCTGTTGTTCCTTCCTCTTTGTTTATAACCTTCACATTCCAATCACCAATAATTATCTATGCATCTTGATCACATGCTTAACCAATTTAAGACAGAAGTTAGCAGAATCTTTCCATTTCTTCATCACCAGGTGCCTACTCTATATGTAATTACTTCTTGATGTAAAGTTCTTTCTTATACATCTATGAGTGTCACTGGATTTGTTTCTCTAGTCTACCCGGCCTAACACAACCCCGCAACCAAAAGAACTAAATGGTGTCCAACTACCACTACCAACTGTTCTGACCAAGATAAAAGGGGAGAAAAAGTATAAAGCAGAACTCAAATATTTATGTACTTTTAAATGCCAGATAAACTGTAACAGTAAAGGCCAGTGTACTTGCCCCCAGAGACAGTTAGCCTTAGGCACTCTTTAAACCTAGAACCAACTGATCCTCAGATTAGAAGAGAAATCCCTGCTCTAATGGTGTGATGTCTTCAGTCCACCCATACACAACAATGTCATTGAGGCCCAAAAGGAAATCATCAAGCACACTCGGAGCTCATTATGGCTAAAGGGCAAGGCGCGGAGTACCACTGGCACTACGGAAAAGCTGCACTGCTGTCTTTGACACAGAGGACAGTCTCAGGCTGGCGCCTTCCAAGCAAGTAGTTACTGCAAGTCTCACTAAGAAAAACAATACTCAAATGAGTTCAAGCACATTTCTAAGTGCGCCAAGAAAAGTACACCCCTCCAAGAATAGTAGCTTTATACCAGTTGACCTAACTTGAGTCCGTTTCTCTTTCTTATAATCATGTGAGCTTTTTCATTCAATTAAAACAGGATGGCAGAGATAGCATTTGTCTTGTTTCAGCGGCAAGAACAGTTGTACTTGACTGATTGTTTCCTTTCAAATCATACACTATTAATTGTACAAATTAACACCTGTTTCCCAGTTGGCATCTTGTGGGTCATACATACTTGCTGTTTTAATTCTTAATCCCAATTCTAGCTCCATTTTGCAGCCCTACTATTGTGACCCCATCGCGAACAAATAGTACTGTCCTTACCCTCTAACAACTTTGAAGCAAAATGGGTATAAATAGCACTTTTATCAAACCTGAGACTGATATAAGACCAGAGAACATAGTGAATACCATGAAGACAGAAAACGATCTTACCGGAAAGAAAAACAAAATGAGCAATATTAACGAAATGAAATGCAACCGGAATTAATGTTCATATTGTAAAATAATACCTGGTCTAATATCTTTGAAAAAAACTATCTAAGCACAGTACAACAAGTCTCATGTGACAGAGAAAGCCAAAAACATCAAAAACAATTTTTACTTCTACAAGTGGACCAACTTCAGGGTTAATAATAACCCCTTTCATCCGGATGTCCCTCATTACAAAACAAACCCATTCCCCACAATGTCTCCTCTGAAACCAGGAATTGAGAGGGAAAAACCAGTGAAGTAGATAAAAGAAAAGCTTTCCTTAAAATAACTCAACTGTGGGGACTGAGCATGATAGTGGGACAGGAGGAAAGTCAAGGGAAATAGAGGAAAGAGCTGGGAGGCAAAGGGCATTTA